AATACATGGAAACTGAGTCAGATTTAGCCAAAATAGAAATAACTGCTCTTTTAAGGAGAGTCAGACAGGTGGTATTCCACAAGTAGAATGTAGTTATTACTTCAATAAACTTCTAGCTGGAGGAGAAGTCTCCTGAGCAAGTCACCATATTATAATCACTATTACTAAAATAAAAAGGTATTCTGAGCATCTAGAAAAGGATGCCTAAAAAGCTGATCAATAGTCTTTTTAGAGGAAATTAATGTTTATCCATTTTTGTTCATTTATGTAAGTACAATGTTTTACACCATTAGTACATATGTAAGTGTCCCTGATTATATTTTGATTTTGCATATTCTATACTAAATTCAACAGTGTATTTTGAAATTGATCCATATTAGTCTGTGTAGCTCAAGTTTATGTAATTTACTTTTTTTTTTTTTTTTTTGCTGAGAATTGAACTTAGAGCCTCCTACATGCTAAAGAAGTGTTCTGTCACTGAGCTATACCCCTAGCCTCTACTTTACACTTATTTTAACTCATATATGAACATTTAAGACTTTCTTTTAAAAGACTCTTTTTGTGATAATTGATTTAGTGCAGCAGAGATTTTACATTTTAATGTAGTCAAATTTATCAATCTTTTGTGGCTCATGATTTTTGTGTTTATTTAGGAAATTCTTTCCAACTCAATTCATAAGGATACCCTTCTTTATATTTTTATAAATATTATCCTTACCTTTTAAGAATCCCTTCTCTCTCTCCTGCTCACCCTTCCCAATCACTGACCTCCATCTGGTCCGTTGGCCACAGTTCCCAAGAAACACAAACAGGCAGATCTCATCTCTGAGACAGACTATTCTATGTTTTAATTCCCCAGCCTCACTGGCCCCGCACTTTTCACCAACATATACACCTCCAGATAAGAACAGAGCACAACCTGTGGCTCCTCAGCCTCCCCTCTCTGAACAATGGGAAGGCCTGTTGCTGACTGTGCTGTGGGGCAATGAGCCCTCAATGCTTCCAGTTCTGTCAGTTCTGCCTCCACTCTTTCTCCACCCAGCACTCAGGTCTCAGGCTTCATCCCATCCCTTGCTTTGTACTTCTCCGCTTCTCTACTACTTGGCCCTGTCCTGCTGTCTGTCTGCAAATCTTGCTTTGGAGAGTTGGTATTTCCTTTCACTTTCTCTTTTTTATATATTCACTGAGTTTGAAGAAGAAAGCCCCTTTACGCATGAACTTCTCATACTCCTTTGACCCAAACCCTGACTCTTTCTCTGTATGGCAGATTATAAGAAAGAGTAGGAATTAACTAGATGGAGAAGGCTAGTGAGATAAATTGCACATGAGAGGAAGAATTTGTATGAATGCACAGAGATGGGAAAAAACAGAAAACTGGAAGCACTTTTTAATGACACTGACCAGAAAAGCATAGGAGGAGAGAAGAAAAAAACAAACAAAATACCCAGAGGATGATGAAGCATGGTGCCCTTCACGATGAGGAAGCTCTTGTGCCTCCTGTGTCCCCAAAATTGCCACTTTCGTAAAACACACACAAAAGACCCAAAGAACGGACCACTGAAGAAGAGAAATAAGAGAAAAAGAAAACAGAATTATAATATAGAAGATATCCCAGACTTCAAATACATTCCCATCAATTCAGTGAGGCAGAGGGTGCTGATGTCATTATGTCCATTGTCAAAACAGGAAAACTGAGACCTAGGAAGTTTAAAGGATGGGCTAGAACCAAAACCTACTGCTTATTCTCTTGTGACTTATTCAGGGTGCACACACATACCGCAAAGAGACTGTTAACTATGGATATATTTGGCCAAAACAATAAAATCAGCAATAAAAATTGAAATACAGATAAATTTCTTTGGCACTCTTTGATTTCACTTTGTCTCTTTCCTTACCTGTCTCTTATTCTAAACTCTGAACCCAAAATCATAAATCATCCATTATACTCACTTACTCTGTGATAAAAAGACTGAAAAGGTTCACTGTTCTATCTGCTCTTCCAAAATTGCATTTCAAAAACTAAGATAAAAGAAATGAATTCCATTTGTACAAGTTCTAAGTAATAGTAATCTGGAAGAGCAGATTTCTGACCAAAGGCTCTGTCGTGGTTTGGGGTTCTTGTAAGGGGAACAATATATATATAATATAGGCACATTTTATGATAGTATATTATAATGAATCACCCAAGAATCATATACAACAAGTGCAGGAAATCTGTACACACACCTAACACTAAAGATTCCAGCTAGAGCCTAATATCCTGCCTGAGTCCAACTGAAAATCTAGAGCTCATAACAATGCCTCCCTCAAGTCCAACTGGAGGCCTAGAGACCACAACGAAGTCTCATGCAGGTCCACTTCATGGATCTGTGATAGAAAGGCCCAAAGGTCAGTCGTGGAAGCTAGGAAGTCTATACCAGTGGGATGAAGGATCTGTGCTAGCAAGCTGAGGGATCTGAATTGGAGCTAGGAAGCAACACTCAAGGTAAGCACCAGAGCTCCCCCAAAAGTACCACAGCTGTCCTCAGCAACAGTGATGTCCTGAGCTCCTCCAGCAATAAGGAAAGCCATGTTCCCATCAGGAAAGCCAGTGCGACAAGCTTCATAATGCTGAGCAGTGCACCATCTTCCCCTCCAGAGCCAGGAAGCAATGCTCAAGATGAGGACCCAAGCTCCTCCAAAGCTCATCGGGAAAGCCAGGATAACAAGGTCCTCCAGCAGAGCAGCCCAAGAGAACTAGCAGTTTCCAACAGCTGTTCCAACACTTCTCCAAACAGCATCCCCAACAGCGTTTTGGCAGCTTCCCCTGTTCTGCCTTTTATGCTGCTGATAACAACCCTCAGGTAGGCCTCCTGCACCCAGCACCATGTTAGTTTAATTCAGCTGGGCGTAATAAGTTGACCACCAGTAAGAAATCCACTCTAGGCTCATTACCAGTATTCCTTAAATCACATGATTCATCATCTTTGAGCTCCTGCAAATGAGCTCAAATGAGATTGGCCCAATCTATCTTAGCAACAGTGAAAATTTCAATTATCTTAATCTAGCTATGAGTTTCAAGTTAAAAGTCAGCATCTCAATAAACAGAAGAGGGAGGGGCCGGGGAGATGGCTCAGTGGAATAAGTGCTTCCCTGGCAAGCGCAAGGGCCTGAGTTCAATCCCCGGTTCCACAATAAAATAAAATAAAAATAAAAATAAACAGAAGAGGGGTTGAAGTGAGGGAAAGGGAATGAAAAAAAAAAAAAGAGCAATACATGTCACGTGTAGGTACAAATTCCTTATGATGATGCTATCATTATATCTAAAATGTATCTGTAAAGTTTTTAGAAGTCAACAAAAAAGAAGTGAATATTTCTGTTGATGAAATTACTACCTAGAGTTTTATGTGTAGTTCTGTAAATAATCACCCATTTACTGAACAAATATAGTCTTTCACTTACAATGATTCAGCGTATGATTTTTAAACTCTACGACCCATACAAACAATCTGCTCTTTCTTTATAGTCCTCAACCACTTTATATAAAATAGAGTTTGTATTAAGTTATTTTGCCCAAATGTAGGCTGGGGGCTGGGGAGATGGCTCAGTGGAATAAGCGCTTCCCTGGCAAGTGCAAGGGTCTGAGTTCAAACCCTGGTTCCGCAAAAAAAAAAAAAAAAAAAAAAAAAAAAAAAATGTAGGCTAATGTCAGTATTCTGAGCACATTTTGGCAAGCTAAACTAAGGTGTAATGTTCAGTAAGTGAAATACATTAAATTTATCTTTTACTTAATATTTTCTACTTACAATAGTCTTGTTGGGACATAACCATACTATAAGTTCAAAAACATTTGTATCCCAATTTGAATAGGTTAATAATTATTAATATATGAAAATATTTAGGGCTTATACATGAGTAGGAAATGACTCCTGTGACTATACTGTAACTTGCTAAAAAATGGTAAAAAGTAGACTAAAACCAGTTATTTCAGGTGACAGAGTGTAAATTTTACCTCATTTGTACATTACTATTCTTTCTGTCCCCTAGTATCAACTCAAGTTCTATTTGAATTATTACATAGTTCTTCCTCTTGCTTCAAAGGAGAGCTCAAAGGAGAGCCCTGCGTTTTTACTACTCCTATTCCATCCCTAAAAACTGATTTCTATAATTCTTCCATATTTTGGGCAAAGGGAAATCTTTTTCTGGGGGGGGGCAGGGGAGTACCAGGGATTGAACTCAGAACCTTGTGCTTGCCAGGGAAGCACTTATTCTACTGAGCTATCTCCCCAGCCCCAGGGAATCTTAATAAGATATTCCTATCCTTTGTTATTCCTCTGATTTTTTAAATGTATTTAGTGCAGGGTCTACAGGGTCTCACTACATAGATTGGACTTGTAGTAATCCTCCTGTTTTCAGCCTCCTAAGTGCTGGGATTACAGGCTTGAGTCACTACACCCAGTTTCAGTTGCAGTCTCAGGGAGCCCTGGGCGCAGGGCTGGCACAGCTTGTGAGGCCTGGGATTGAACTCAGTCCCTGTGCTCTGCTTAAGCAGATGCTTTAGTTCCTCTGATTTTTTTTCCAGGCAAGTGCTTATTCTACTGTCATTGTCTTTTTTGAAACCGAATTTTTCTATACAGTTAAGACTGACTTGGACTTACTCTGTAGCCCAGGCTGGCCTCAGACTCATGGCCATCCTCCTGCTCATCTTCCCAAGTACTGAAATTACAGAAATGTACCACCACATCCAGCCTTAGTTCTTAAATAGTTATAAATACCAATTCCCATTCCCTTCTATAGAGAGAAAAATCCAGTTCCTAAAGATAGACTTAAAGCAAAGCTTTAATCACTGCTGCTGCTTCCCTCTGATATTAATGAATAAAACCAAATGTATGCTCATGCTATAAACCATACATTGCCACATGTTTAGAAACATCCATTTAAGATTCTGAAAACAATTCCCCTAAATTTCCTGAGAAAAATAAAGTCTAAACAGTGGTGAACTCTGTGCTCTATCCCTCTAGGTTTTCAGGGTATGGGATATACAGACTCTTTCCCTATTACAAGTCTTCCACGACACCCAGGGAGGACCAGGAGATATGCAGATTTATTCCATGGTATATGATACCAAACATGGCATGCTTATTACAGGTAGGTGTATCCAAATAAAGGTAAGCCTAACTCATGTCTTGGCTTTTAACCTTTTTATAATTAGCACTCAAGCATGTTCTATGGGGGGAAAGCCAAGAAGGAGTAATTACAAACCATGATTCACCACACCAATAGTTCTAACCTCCAACTCCATGCTTTCTGATGACTATGGTCGGTCAATAAAACACATCAATATACTTTTCTGAAAATAACAGGTCAGTTATCAAACATAGAAATGCACAACTCAAGAATACACAGGAAAAGGGAATGTAGGGGCCAGGAAGATAGCTCAGTGGAATAAGTGCTTGCCTCACAAGTGCAAGTTCCTGAGTTTGATCCCTGGTGCCATAAACAAAACAAAACAAAACCAAAAAAAGGTAATGTAGATGCTATATCTAGGACAAACCCAGCTGTTATGCTCAGCTCTGAATGTGATCCTAGCTTAGATGATGGTCCCAGCATAAGCCCCTTTTCTGTAGCAAGGTAATTAGCCCCATGCATTCTGCTTATGAGGTTATTAGTAAGAATAACTGTCTTTACCTCACAACTGTCTTTATCTCTGTGGGTTGTTTTATTTTGTTTTTGAGGCAGGGTGGCCTCAAACTCATGGTAATCCTCCTGCCTCAGCCTCCCAACTGCTAGGATTACAGGCATGTGTCACCACACCCAGTTTACCTCTTTCTAGACAAAGAACAAGGGAAAGCAAGAAAATAAAACTCAAGATGACAGATCCCTAGTACTAATGCCAACAGATTTTCTTCCCTTTTTTTCTTGTGTTCCTTAGACAGACACAGTAAAGAAACAAGTTACCTTATTGGGCATTTAGCTTGAACACTCTTCACACGCTTATCCTTAAGCTTTAGAAGAAAAATGAATGATATTAATAGTAGTTCCTCTTCTGGAACACTCTGCCAAAATTGCATTTCCTAAGCATATGCCCACTGACCACCTGCTGTGAGTTACTGTGGGATTAATTAAGGAAGGGAAATGCTTGGTGTTATCTCTGGTGGAGAATATAATTATTTTTAACTCTTGTGTTGGTGCTTTTTTTTTTCTGGGTTAGGAGGGAGCTAGCATTTTATGCTTGAGTTGTAAGCACCTGCCTGTACATGACCCCTCTAAAGAGAATATATGAATGACTACATGAAATTCTTTCCTCTTAGTTCCCCAGCTAGCATGTTTAAATACTGGGTTCAAAATTTCTAACCCATTTATCTTCAGAGTAACTAAGGACTCAAATATCACATAAAAAGATGAAAGAAAATAGAAAAAAAGAATAATATTTCCTCTTAACTGTATATAATTTTGGGAGTATTTCTGTCTGCAAAAAAATAGAGAGCTCTACATATTGCTTAACTACTGGAATTATACACATCGATGTGAAATGTCACCTTGATATTAGAATCCCATGAAGTTTATTAATTTGTGCTTTCATTCTAATGCAGCGGCTTTACTAATATTCCTCTGCACCACACCAACAGCTCAGCAGCATGTGCTAAAGAGGCTTTGCAGAAAGTTATTGTCACTATCATAACTTAATGCTTTCATTAAGATAACCATTTCTGTATTTCCTTGTTACTTTTTTATTTAATCACCTAAGGTCACCTTGTGAGGTGAGGAATTATTAATTTTATAAATGAAACATCTGCATCTCTAACAGTCCAGCTGGCTAGTAGAAGGCAGACCTAGTGGCCTGGGATTTGATCTCAGAGCTTCTGATTCCTGAAGCCACCACATCATTCCCCCAGTTGCAGTACAACCAGCCAAAAAATAAGGGAGAAAATTGTCCCTGGCCTGCAAACATACCTAGCTCTGTTTAGGTCCACTCTAAATAAAGTTAGTTGCTGTCAGCATAATGTGAAAGCATCTCGCAGGACACTCCAAGCATGGTTTGATTAGCTGGGCGCCATATGCCTCTCACATCTCCATATTGAGATGGTTGACTTGAGACATTTTCCAGATGAACCATCTCAGTTCTGTTTTACACATGAACAGATTTTATCTTAAAATTTAAGCACTTAGGAAAGTGTTTAGCAATTCCCGCTAGAAGTTTCAAAGTTGAGGTTTCTTTGAAGAGATCTGAGAGACCCAATGCAAAGTCAACTGTGGGCAACTTGATCTCCACATCAATAAAAATAGGTTGTTTTACTTTTATTTGCACCACCAGAGTACTTGGACATTATTATCAGTACTTCTACATATAATGCTAAAATAGAACACATAATCAGTTGATTTTGAGACTTAATTTTGAAGTTTATAGTACATTACAAAACAAAACCAAAGGCCTTTAGTAATAAGACACAAGAAAGTCTGATCTCTATCTCATGGCTCTGCTAACTGCATCTGTGGTGGTTTGGAAATTAATGTTACTTAATTGTGACACCTCACCAGCTCTGCCCCCTAGAGAGTGCTGAGCCAGCAAATAAATGGTCAGGGCGTGGTGGCAGAGGCCTGTAATCCCAGCACTGGGATGGCTGAAAACAGGAGGATCACTGTAAGCCTGATCTGCATAGTGAGACCCTGTACCAAATACATAAATGAAAAAAAATATTCTCTAACAATAAATTTCAACCCTAAGTGGAAGCTTGCCTTCAGCAGAAAGCTGACCATCACCATCATGGCTATAAACCAGATGGAGAGGCTCAAGGGGACACATAAACAAGGGGGAAAGTAAACCATAAAAAGTAGGCTATTGGGGTCACTAAAATGGAGATGTCAGTGAAGTCTAAATGACCTGTACTTGAAAAATAATGTTCAAACTGAGTATTTTTTCCTCTGGCTAAGTCATATTTGCTTTATCTGTCAAAAGACATTCTAGTGTAAGTGAATGTATTTCACCTCCTTTTATTTCTTAGGCATTGATATTACTAGTTTTTTTTGTTTTTGTTTTTTTTTTTTTTTTTTTTTTTTTTTTTTGGTGGAACCGGGGATTGAACTCAGGCCCTTGCGCTTGCCAGGGAAGCACTTACTCCACTAAGCCATTTCCCTGGCCCAAAGATCTGGGGTTTTTTTGTTTGTTTGTTTGTTTGTTTTCAGAACTGGGAATTGAACTCAGACCCTTGCACTTGCCAGGTAAGTACTTATTCTACTGAGCCATCTCCCCGACCCCTACTAGTTTCATTGATTGGCTGTTTTCAGAGACAAAACAGGTTGGATAAAATCTTTCATGATTCTAAACTTCTAGTATGGAGTACTTATGGGATTCTTATTTCTGTTCCAGGATCAAATTTTATAGACATGTATCCTCTTACAAGGATGATACAAGACACAAAACAGGCTCCTCACACTCATGAACGAGAAATCAATGTCATGCTCTACAACAAGTATTTTCACCAAGTACTCACTATCTGCTCTGAATCAATAATTAAGGTGAGGACACACTGGCTCTAGAAACAGAAAACAGCAGAGCAAATAGGATTTTCTCTCCTTCAAGGTATATTGCTGCTGATTCACGAAATATAGTGGGATATGTGATGAGACTATATATTGGAGTTCTTTAAATTTTCATAGATACATGAAAAAGAAAAATTTTAAGCCAACTCAAACTGCTTGCTACCAGGGAACATCAATCAATCAGTAAATAAATAAACCTAGTTTTTACTATCAAAATAGAACTTTTAAAGGAAAATATATCAAAGTAAGAGAATTAACCTGTATGTTTTAACAGTTTGTGTTTTCCTTTTTAATAACTAGATATAGTATTCTTTTTTTAATTTAATACAGGATCTACAGGGTCTACTATATAGATTTGACTCATAGCGATCCTCCTGTTTTCAGCCTCACAAGTGCTGGGATTACAGGTGCGCGCCACCATGCCCCTTCTCGATCACCGTCTCAGCTTGCCCCAGGGTTGGGGACAGCACAGCACACTTCACTCTGCCAGATTGAACCCCGGCCACTGCACTCTGCCTAATCAGGCATTTAACTCCGCTGCACTATCTGGCCAGCCCTGTTAGATGTAGTATTCTTAGAATACTTTTTCTAATTCAAAGATATCCAGATGTCTTAATTGTGGGGAAAAGTATATTTTATTTTTCACCGAGCTATAACTAGAGAGTATATGAAAGAAAGGAAAGAAACTGTGGTTGTTTACTAAAACACCTATATGTGTAGGACATGTGCCTAATACATTAAGTCTAAGATCTCATTTAGCTCTTATGAAAGTTCTTGGTGAACATATAATGACCTTTAGTTTAAAGATGAGGAAGCTAGAGCTCAGAGAGAGCAAACACTTTTCCCCCATATTAGTTTTCTGTGGCTGGGACATAATACACACAATTTAAAAGAGGGGAGGTTTGATTTGACTCAGTTTCAGGGAATTCAGTCCATGGTAAGCTGCTTCCAAGGCAGAGATGTTATGGCAAAGGGCATGGTAGAACACAGTTGCGGAGTTCATAGTGGCCAGAAAGCGGAGCAACAGAACAGCACTACTCTAGGAGCCAGAGAGCCCATGGCCAAACCTTCTTGACCCACCCTAATACACCCAGAAGTGTGCCTCACCAGGCCCTGGGTAGATTCTCAAAGTCACTCGAGTTGACTCTCCACCTTAACCACTTTCCCAAACCCTAATTGATAAGCAGGAAAACTGGAATATGGGCTCAGATCTGCCTGTCATGAATACCCGTGGCCTTTATGCTCCATTTCTCTAGCTGTATCACTATGTGTTCAGAGGCCAGGGTACTTGGTCATGGTAACTGTTCCCACCATTTTGACCACTGGTATAATCTGGCAATGATGGCTAGAGGTGTTTGCATCAGATCTTCATCATTGTATTTCCTTTCCCCTCTCCCCTCCTCTCCCTTCCCTCCCTCTCTCTCTCTCTCTCTGCCCCCCTCCCCTACTCTCTCTTTATGAGACAGGGTCTCACTATGCAATTAGGGCTGGTCTTGTGCTCACATTTGTAGCTCCCAGGCTGGTCTTGAACTCACAGAGATCCTCCTGTCTCAATCTTCCAAGTTCTGGGATTACAGATGTGCACCACCACGCCCAGTTCCAATCATTATATTTCTAAGAGGAGATATATGGACCTGTAGAGAACATTACTCTAGAAACTTTTGAAATTCTCTAAGTTTGACCTTCTGTGTTCATATGTTAGAGATTTTTATTGGACCAAAAGTTTCTGAGTTTAATTATTTATCACTTATTTCTGGTCATGCCTAATGAGAAAGTAGGCAGAAAGAAAAACCAAAACCTATCCTGTCATGCAAAATTACTTTTAAGTATAAGCCATCTTCCCTGTGCAAGACAGAGTAAAAAAAGGAATTTATCTGGGTGAGTTTCCATACCTGATCAGATGTACAGGGATGACACTTCAAACCTGACTATCACTCTTTCTCCCACATTCCTCTTTTTCCCTTAAGGACTTTGTCTATAACCAGGGAGACACCAAAGTTAAGAACCTGGGCTCCAGGGACAAGCTGATTTCATTGAAATCCTGACCACAATACTTCCCAGCCAGGGTCCCTGTGTTATCTGGCCCTCAGGCTTCCCCTTCTGCTCCCTCTCTTCCCATGCTCCCTCTTTCACCTAAGTGAACAGCTATCCTTCAGTCCCCTGTGAAAAGTGTACCCTCCTGTAGCTAGCCTTGTGCACATGCTGCCTCCATCCCCAATGTCTCAGTTAGAATCACTTTGGTTTTGCCAGTTCTGTACTGTGACTGCAGGTATCTGATTTGCATCTGAACTTAGCAGAGCCACAAAGACAGAGGTCCAACACCAAGCCTGTAGGTCTACAGCCTCTACACATACCAACTCCCCACAAGGATGTAATCATTATGTGCTGAGACAGAGAGAGAGAGAGAGAGAGAGAGAGAGAGAGAGAGAGAGAGAGAGAGAGAGAGAGAGAGAGAATGATCTGAATATCACAGACAGGGGCAGTACCTAGTATTTTTGGGTTGGTGTTTCAGTTTTGATGTGTAACTTTTAAGCCCTGAGAAGTCATAGCCTCTCTTCTTGAGGCTCATTATCAGCCAACAGCATGGCAGCTCTTGGCCAGGCTCACACAGACACTACTTGGGAGCTATAGGTGGGACATCACTGACTTGCCCCACTGCTTTAAAGACCAAACCGCAGCACCTCAGCTAGATCCCTTTGTATTGCTTAAAACTAATCAGGCAGGTAAGGAAAAGTCCTGGCCAGCATTGTACACATCAACACAAAGAGGTAGGGCCAAGCGCTTTTCTTTCAAGGAAAGCCATCCAGGTGCTCCTCCACATAGCCTCCAACTAAGCTCTGTCTCTAAAAGATTCTACAACCCTCTAGGCCAAAATGAAAACCAATTCTTGAGCAGATGGACATGTGGGGGACATTTAAGACCCAAACTAAACCAATAACAAATGAACACTTTTCCCCAGCCAACGATTGCCTAAACTAGGGTCACCAGCTGCCTTACCCCCTACATTTGCATTAAACACACTTCAGGATAATACAATGATTGTCAGATAGCACTCCTATTCATAGAACTTTCTTTGATCAAAGCAACACTCAGGACAGAAGACAGACACTTGCTAGATATGCAGAGTACTATGTTTGGAGGCTTTTTTTGAATGTGGTATAATTTTCTTGTGAATTGAAAAACATATGTATAGATCACTTGATCTTGTTGCTGTTTTCTACAGGTATGGGAATTTGAGACTGGTGTCCAAATATACCAGATCATGGACCCTCATGGCCTCAATGTTGAACTGACTTCTGGAGCTATTGATGAAACTGGAGTTCTTTTTGCCACAGGAGCATGTACTGGTTAGTCCACCCTAGCTGGACTTAGGACTCCATTGGCTCTCCACAACTACAAATATGTCTTAATGTTGCACAGGACATGGTAGATTGGAATTATTTCATTGGAATTCCAATAACTTTCCCTGGGATTACAAATGTAGACTTTTCTGAACTACAATGAGGTCCATATGGGTTTTTCTATGCTTTAGGTCACTGGAGGGATGCCCTGGATAGGGATATCATAATCTCATATTGTGGCCTCCCTCCCTTAGTGTTCTGAGTGTTTGTGCTAGAACTCCTTAGGTATTGGGTTGCTGGGAAAACATGAGTCAGGCTGGAAATATGTAAACTTGCCAGAGCTATGCTTCAGTGAAAAGTGACAGACTCATTTATAGGGCATTAATAGCTTGTTAAATAATCAAGAACCTACATTGCATTTATATGTATGGTAGCTCCTTACAGAAGTCTTTCACATATATCATCTTATTTAATCCTTGATTAGAAATATGTGTGTTGCACTGACTCATTCTATTCTAATTTTCAGTACTATCAGCCAAGAGATAAACATCAGACCCAGTGAAATACAGTGGTAGTGGTGACTGAATCCAGAGCTTAAAATATTTTTTCTGGTCTCAAAAATCTGCTTAAGCAAAAATATTTGAGATACGTGAGTTCAGCTCAGGGGAACTGCTCTTTATGGGGCATAGTGCTTAAGAGAGTGGTCCTATGCCACAATGACATCCTGTTCACAGTGAAAATTAGTAGTGACAGAAATTCTAAGCAAGGAACACAATCTTTATTAGGCATAAGGATTAATCAATTCAGTATGATTGTGATTGACAGTAGTATTTTCACATAAACCATTTTTTACTTTATTGGTCCTATGATCTGTACTTCTTTCAAATATTAGAAGATTGTCCTTATAATAGATACATAAGTTAAAATGACAAAGATCCTGAGTCTATGACACTACACAAAGTAGGATTCTCTGACTCACAGGTCGCTTCACCCACACACCGTCATTCTGTCTTCTCTCTCACCACCACCACCTAGGAAGAACTAAACAGTACCTCTCCCTGCTCTCTGCCAAACAGAGTGAAGTCCCAAGGTAGAAGAAAATCTGGGCCATGGGATTGTGGTCTATACAACCCAGGAATGAATGCAAACAATAACTTCTTTTGTTTGTATGACTTTTCCTATAAGACCATAGAGTTCTTAAAAGCTACAACTCTTGTTGCACAGGTCCTGCTTTACCTTGGTCTTAACCATCCAGTAGAAAAGTATGAAGACGAAATATAGGAAGTAAAGCCATGTTGTTATGTTGAGCTGTGGGGGACTCAGGTCAATAATTTCTGACATTGCCAGTTAAACAGAAGACCCAATGCTATTATGGGCTACTGGACTCTTTTAGAATATTTTGCTGAGTTTACACACCTATAATATTCAATAACAGAACTTAAAAAAAATGGGGTAAAACTATGAATGTCCATTTTGTATCTGTGTATTCAAAGTGGTTGGGATAGATATATAGTTGCATTCTCTTAATGAATAGAATGATTTGTTCTAATGGTGTTTGTAAATAGGATCACAAGTCTGCATCTTGTACAGCAATTAACCACTAAGAAGAATATATGCAGTGTATTATTTGTTGAAACTGTACTTTCGATTTGATTTGAAACTGTCTCATTGCTATATGTTTATCAATAAAACTTTGAAAAGAAAAAAAAAAAAGACCATAGAGTTCTTGAGGGCAGGAGCTGTGACAATTCACTTCATATCAGAAGTTCCTATCTCAGAGAGGGCATGCAGGCAGGACTTCACCAGTGTGCATGAACAGAAAGCTGTGCAGGTGCTGTTAGTGTTGCTGATGGGGAACCTGGCACGGGGGAAGGAAAACACAGTGACACAGTCTGAATAACCAGCAGAATGCAAACACTGGCATCAAAAGTGCAGATGGAGGGAGGTGTTAGATTTAAAGCAGGAATGGAAAAGTGCTGGGAAACAAGAGGCCATTGGACTCTATACCTGAGGGGACCACTATAAAAGCCCATGCCAGGAAATACCTCTCTACACAATAGGGTAGAATAGGCATTCAACAAGTACACTCTTACCATCCCTTCTGGCCCCTTCCCCCAGATCTCCTAAATCAAATGAATGAAGTAAATGACATAGAAACTACCTCAGTCTGTTTGGGCTATTGTGATGAGATGTGATAGTCTGGCCTATGAGTATCTAAATATATTTCTCACAATTCTGGAGGCTGGGAAGTGCAAGATAGAGACCCAGTTTTGGTGAGAACCCATTTCCGGGTGCCCTGTTGCTGTGCCCTCCTTCATATGGCGGAAGGAGTGAGGGGGTTCTTTAAGACCTTTTTTAAAAAGGATATTAACTGTGTTCTGTAAGGCTCTACTCTCAGGACCTAATGCTACCCACGTGACTCGATGTTACGTTGAGAATGAGGTTTCAAAACAGAATGTGTTTCAAATATAAGAAAAAAAAAACTTGACACTTCTTATTTTCTTTCCCAAATAATTAATAAAACAACTCCAAGCCAGATAGTTTCTTATCTACTGGAATTTCCTCAAGTCTTTTATATCAAAAAAGAGCTACTGTCCTAAAATATATCAGCACCCTAAGAAGTGCAGCAGGTTATTACAATTATATTTAACTGTTAATTATTATAGTGTGGTGGCTAAAATTCCTATATATGGGAGTGTTTAGCAAACTGAAAAACACTGGGAGAATACATGAAAAGATCTATTTAAGAAAGAAAGCTCAATAGGAGAGTCCAGGAGTTTCCAAGAAAACTGTAAGCTTTCTGTTACTATAACAAATATATTAAGTAATCAATTTATAAGAAGGAAAAATTTATTTTGGTTCCTGGCTTTAGAAGTTTCAGTCCATGGTGACTTGGCCAATGGGCTTTTTTGTGCCTGTAGTAAGGCATCATGACAGGGAAAATGTCACCTTACAGTAGCTGGAAAATGAAAGATAGACAAGGGCCAGAGTCACACAACTCCCCCTCCAGGCCACACCCCCAGTGACCTAATTTCCTCCTACCAGACTTTATTAATGATTCTCCTCTCTCCCACTAGTGCCAAGTTAGAATTCAAGCCTTCAGCATATGGACCTTTGGAGGACATTTATCCAAACCATAGCAAAAATCACTAACAGATTTCAAGACACTGTCTAGTCCTGTTCGTTTTTTTTTTTTTTTATCAGCTGGTGACAAATTCAGACAGGAATGTCTTTCAGGTGTACTCTCTGGGGAGACTTACTTGTCAAGTCTTAGAAAATTTTCATTCTAATCACTATTCTCTGAGCTGAAAGTCAAGGTTCCTACAAATCATTTTACTCATACAGTCTTTTCTCTGTGTGCTAAGGAACAGTCAAAATCTGGGACTTCAGCAGTGGGCAAGAAATGAAAGTGCTGCTGGAAGGGAAAGACTGGAAAGAGGAAGAGCACTGGCTGAGGCACCTGATTTTCCTCCACACTCAGGACAAACACCAATACTTCATTCTTGCCTTGGAGGGCAATGGGACTATCAAAATCATCCAGGTTTACAGTCCTAATCTTCTATTTCCACTGGAGATGTGGTCCTGGGAAAATCAATGGAGTCAGTAGATAATCTCCACTTAACTCCCCAATTGTTAGCCAGCAGAATATAGTGTTTACACATCAACTTTCTAACCTTGCAAAACAAACAAAAAGAGGAGTTGCCCAGGCAACACACAGCCCTTTGAGCTCTTGCTGCAGGATTAGTCAGGATCTTCTAACACAGATATCAGAAAGGTGATTTCTACACAGAGCTGACATTGCTTATACTCTCACTGGGGAGTAATTCACTGCTCACCACTACTGCTCCTCAGCACGCTCTGACCCTTATAATCCATATTGCATTCGGAAATGCTCATCAGTTTTTTTTCTACTTGGCACTAAAATTGCTTTGTTTATTTTAAGGTTAATAATGCAATCTACCTAGGACTGTTTTGGGAAGACTGAGATAGGCTAATTTATTTTTTCCTGAGAATCTATCACTAGTTAGGAATACTAATGTCTTCTTCAAATTTAAAATGAAGGCTACATCTTTTATCCTGGCTAAGTGGATCTCGCCCTTTCAGCAAGAGCTCAAAGACTCATTGCCTTTATTATTCTCTTTCTGGAAGCTAAGATTGGGGAGAAAAAGTCTTAAATAGGATAGCAATCATAAAGTACCAGCATTCATTAAGCTGACTAATGACCTTTTAAATGGATAAAAAGGAGTAAAAACCTCCCTGGGATTCAGTATTCTCTACTCTGTTGTCTGCACAATCCAAAAAGGCAATGTGGAACTTCCTGGTAACATACTCAAGAGCACAGCAAATATGTCATTCCCCATCTTTAAATTAGTGCAAAATGGTCATCAGGGTGCCCTTCCCTACACAGCCTTCTTTCACAAACCCTCCCTTTTCAAAGCCTGTTAAATGAAGCATGGTCCTGCTGGCACATCAAAATTATTTTGGTTTTAACTGTGGTATTTTTCACCATGATTGTTCTGTTCATTTAAAAGCTGTAGACTAAGCTTGATAAGGACACGCCTCTTATATTGATACTCTTGCCCTCCCTACAGTAGGTGATCATGAAAGATTGAAAAGAATAAAGAAAACTCAGGGCCAACCAGATAGCTCAGCAGATTAAAGCACTTGCTTAGGTAGATGCAGAGACACAGGTTTGATCCCTGGCATGCCATGCCAGCCCCACCCCCTCAGTATGCTGACATAGTGATTGAGACTGGGCGTGGTGGTGCACACCTGTAATCCCAGTGCTTGGGAGGCTGAGAACAGGAGGATCACTATGAGTCTGATCTGTGTAGTGAGACCCTGTAGACCTTGTACTAACTACATAAAATAAAAAAATAAATTAAAACTCTTTTAAGATAGACAACAGTAAATATATGAGGGATCTTTGGGGAATTTTGAACTCCTGATAAGTACTGCAGAGTTGAAACATGGTTGTACTCAGGAAAACACAAGTCAGATTGTGAGACCATTCCACCTCAAGTAACTGAGAAAAGTTAGGAACCAGACCAAAGAAATTTCAAAACTCCAAGCAGGAGGTTGGGAGAAGAGCACTGAAGGCTAATTTTCAGAAAAATGGACAAAGGCCAGGGAAATAAAACCATATAGCTGTGGGTCAAGCACATGAAAAAAATGTTAAACTCACCAGAAACTAGGGAAGTGTGGTTAATGTAATTACTACATCTTAAAATTAATCTGAATTTCCAATTCATCAGATAGGCCTCAAAAAGTTTTAATCAATAATTTTAAGTATTAGCAAACATGTAAAGTAAAGGGAACTATTATCTATCCCTAGTCAGAATAGACATGGATAATCCTTGCCAGACAGAACTTTGTGGCAATCGCTAATAAAGTCGATGTTATGCATACCTTATAATTCAATGATTATAGTACAGCCATATGCTGTAAAAACTGGAGTCTGTTCACAAAGACAAGCAATGAAAAGCTGGCAACACCCCTGCAGAAAAATGGATATATAAATGGTAGAATACTCATATTATAAGGCAGTTAAAAACAGAAGAGCTAGAGTTCCATAGAATAACTGACATACATCTCAAAAACATAATATTAGTGAATTGGCAAGCTGAAGAAGGAACCATAATTTGATACATTTCTAAAATGGTTAAAAGTCTGAAAGCAATATCATATACATAGAGAAGATATATGCATGTAGAAATATTAAAACCATATTAACACTATATATTCAGGTTACTGTTTATTCTGAGTGAGAAGGTAGAAGAATTATCCTAAGGGTGGGCAGGTGTCCTGGTTGTGCTGTACTGTCATCTTGACTGGTTTGAGAACAGGCCACAGTGGTGGCAAAGCTACAGCATGTGTGCCACAGCAGGCCGTTTGTATGATTGGAAGTTCTGAAAGGTTTGCCACCACTGGCCGAGGGGGTTAGTAAAACATGCTTCTCCATGTCTCGGTGGGTCATGAAGTCATAGTCTTTGGTGCTGCATCTGGCCCTTGGTACCATTTTCCTGCTCTGCTTTCTTGCTGCTTGAACAGAGCAGCCTTGTTTCACCAAGTCCTTCTGCCATGACATTTTTGTCTTGGAGCCAAAACCAGGAATCAAATAAACTCCTTCAAATCTGGTGTGTCAGATATCTGGACCCAGAAACTAGAAAGCTGACCAATACAGCAGGGCTCAAGATTTGATAAACCTGAATGTGGGATAGCTACATCAGCATATTATCTCTTTCTGTGTAATAGAGCTCAAAATAAAAGTACTTCATTTGAGCTTGTCATGTACTCACTGAATTTCTGCTGCAGGGTAAGGAGGATGACACTTTCCTTGTGGTGATATGGGAGCTGCCGGATGCTGTGCCACATCTACAAGACGGGAACCACACCGTGCAACTGAAGACTTCTACTAAAGGTGGGAATGTGGATATTCCTTTCCCAGATGTCGAATTAATCATTCATAGAAACTCTGCTCAACGTACTAATGTAAGTTTCATTTTTTGATATTTTTACTTTTTCTTTTTTGTGATGGAGAATTATAAACACATTATATACAAAAGTATAGAAAATAATCTGACAGACTTCTATGTACTATGGCTAAACTTAAAAAATATTTTGGGGTAGGGACTGGGGAGATAGCTCAGTAGAATAAGTGCTTGCCTGGCAAGCACAGGGCCCTGAGTTCAATCTCCAGTGCCACAAAAAAAAAAAAAAAAAAAAATGGGGGGGCATGTTCAAATTTATTCTATATTCTCCTACTTCTTCAAGACCACTTTGAAGCCAAGTTCAGACATGATGTTATTCCATCACTAAATATTTCAGTAAAAATATCTAATCAATGACTGTTTCAAAAATGACAATCCCATTATTCTCTAAAATATTTTTGAAAACAATTTATAAAAAATCATTACTGCCATCACATATTCACTCTATTCAAATATCCCAGATTGTCTCATTATTTTTTATTTTATTCTTTTTTCCAACTAGAATTTGGACAACTCCATTTGTTACATTCAATTGACAAATCTATTAAATATCTTTTAATGAACACAAACTGTCCCATCTCTCTTTTTCCCCAGGGATTCCCACTTTGTAAGTTTTGCTAGTTATATCTTCTTAGTGCCATATAAACAGTTCTCCTACACTTCCTATCATCTACCACTTAAATCTACTTAGCTACATGAAACTTTTTTTTTTCTTCTTTACCAAGTCTCCATGAAGATCATTGTCATGACTGTGATGTTCCACCATGATTCAGAGTGTGGCTGGTTGTCTGATTTGTGTGTCACTATCCACTGATGATCACTAACTAATTCAACTGTATCATTTGGAGTTGCTATTTTACCATTAGGCTTCATTTATCACTGGCGTGTGTCTTTAAAGAAAAACCTTCTTTCATCAAACACTTGGTTATACAAAGATACAGCTCATACTTAAAAGCAAAATAATTGCTCCATTCTCTGTAATTATTGGGGTTCAAATTTAAGAGTTGATTGCTTTGCCTCTTCCAAAGATGGATAGTGAACTTTATTTGCTTAGTATCATTATCAATAAGTGTGTTTGATGTGTTTAAGAGAGTGCATGTGTTAGTATTATCGATGTTCAGATTGTCCTATCTCAAATTGGTTGGCACCTCTTCAGGCTCTCAAGTTCTTTTGATAAGACCCCAGGATTTCTGGCTAGCCTCTTGGTATGAGACAATGTTTCAGACTCATCACATGTTTCTAGCTCCAGATCTAGAACGCACTATCTTTCCAAGAAACTCTTTGCAGTGGAAAATAGTATTAAGAGACTACAGTGTGGGGTTTACATATAACTATTGTCACAAAGTTGATTCATATATTTAGAGCTTTTCAATTGGACTAGCTTTTCAATAGCAGAGTTAAGAAAACATTGAAAAAAAAGTACATCACTAGTTTGTATGGATTTTCCAATTCAAATCTAAGAATATATGTCTCTTGTCATTCTTATTTTTTATCTTTGTCTCATAGAAAAATCTTTTCTCCTAATGACATTAACGTACTTGTTTGATTTATCCTATGATTTGTTAATTGTACCTTCTATAACATATAAGCCATTTGTGTTATGTTCTGTTGTATTATAGTACAGTTTCAGGAAAACAACACAATTATTAGAAATATGATCACTGAAACAGCTTAAGATCTTCCTTTCATTGCAGTCTTTCTTGTCTTTAGCATGTCTGAGTTGCAATGTAGTGTGAAACTTGAGTGTTTTACATTGACTTGAAGGCCAACCAAATAGCTCAATGGATTAAAGCAACTGCAAGCAGGCGCAGAGGTTGGGGGTTCTATCTCAGCCTGCCATGCTAGCCCCAGCCCCGGGGCATGTTGAGACTACAACTAAGACTGAAATTGAGACTGGGCATGTTTCCCCTTTTTTTAAAGATGTATTTTTTTTCTTTTCTTTCTTTCTTTTTTTTTTTTGTATATTCAAAAGTTAGGATAGATATACAGCTACTTTCTCTTAATTCAATGAATAGAAAGATTTGTGCTAATAGTGTTTGTGGACAGGATATCATGTCTGCATCTTGTACTATGAATAACCACTAAAAAGACAACAATATGTAATGTATTAATTATTGAAACTGTCCTACTAATCAGTTTTGAAACTGTCTCATTGCTATTTGTTTCTCAATAAAATTATTTTTTAAAAAAGTTTGAAATACAGAAGAGAAAAAAAGAGACTCGGTGTGGCAGCTTGCACCTCTAATCTCAGCTCTTGGGGGGCTACAGACAGATCACTATGAGTCCAAGCTAGTAGTGAGACCCTAAACAACCTGTAGACCCTTCCTGAAAATAAAAAAATAAAATAAATAAATAAATTCAGTTGAAATAATCCCTTGTGCTGTCAGCTGTATACAAATTAAATGTGCTTCTTTCATTGTTGTATTTATTGTTCTTAGATTTTATTTCTCATTATTACTTAAAAAGATTTAAATATTTTCAAAATCAAATCTATAAAACAAGTGGTCTTCTCAGATACAAAACAAGGTCTATTCTACCTTTTATTCCTATCCCTTCTATCTTGTGCTACCCAAATCTGTAATTGTTTTTAGGTTTTTGGTTCATGATTCAATGTTATTTTTAAAAATATAATCAAATATTTAGCCATACTTGGTTCCTTCCCAATCCACTTAAGCAAATGATATGTAACACTATACACATTCTTATATTTGTTAAATGTTTATTTAGTAATATATTCTGGAGGTCTTTATAAACCCTAGATTATATACTATATTAATTATATTAATTAATTAATCTATTTATTTATTTATTTATTTATTTGGTACAGGATCATGCTACACAGCTTGGACTCATAGTGCCTTACCAGGGATCAAACTCAGGTTCTTAAGCTTGCCAGGCAGGCAGTAAGATCACTGAGCTATCTCCCCAGCCCCAGATTAGATTTTAAATTATGGTAAAATATAGATAACATAAAATTTTCCCATCTTAGACCTTCAGGTGTACAACTCGGGCCACTACGTGCATTTACATTGTTATACAACCACTATCCATTCCTGAAATGCTTTTCAATATCACAAAATTAAACAGTAACCCTGCTTTCCTCCTTCCTTTCAGCTCTTAGCAAGTGCCATTCTACTTTCTATTTCCATGAATTAACCTACTCGAGATACCTCATGCAAGCAGAAAAACATACATTTTTGTCTTTTTGTAACTGACTTGTTTCACTTAGCACTATGTCTTCAGAGTTCATTTATGCTGTAGCATGTATCAGATTGTCCTTCCCTTTTAAGACTAAATGCCACTCCACTGTATGCATAACCACACATTTTTTTTTTAGTTATTCATCTATCTTAATGCACAGTTAGGCTGTTTCTAACTTTTGGCTATCGAGAATAAGGTTGCTATAAATCTGGGTGTATATGTCTCATATTTCTGTTTGAAAGCCCTATCATATTTTATTGGAATAGATGTAACATAGTTTATTCAAGTAGTCCCTCATGACTGGACTTTTTGATTGTTCCCATTCTTTTCTGATTAAAAATCAATGCCTTAATTTTGATTTAAAAACAGAATTTCTTTAGTCTTCAATAAGTAACCTTTCACCATGCAATTTCAACAAATAGTCTTTTATATATGCAGTTTCAAAATTTGAACAGTGAATCTTTGGGATATTCATAGTACAGTGATTGCTGGTTCAAAAAACATCCTATGTAAAGCTAGATATTATCAAATCATTCTGCCTGATCATTACAAAATTCTCTATTTCCACTAGCAATGGAAAATAGGGTGTGCTTCCCCAGTCTTGCCAACAGTGTGTATTGTCAAACTTTAAAAAATTTTCAATATAGATCACAACTTAGCATATTTTATTTGCATTTCTTTTGTACTGAATGGACCATTTTTCACATAGCTATATAAGCTATTTGAGTATATACTCTGTTCACTTTTCTATCCAGGTGGTCATTATTTTTCTTCTAATGTTTAAGAAGATTTTCAAATACTAGGAATACATATGTGTATGTATAAGTTACATTATTGTGGATATGTATTTAGGATAATGAGCCCTCTGTGATTTAATTCCAAATGTTTGAGTTTCTTATTAGTTTTTTTCCTTTTGCATATGGTCATTTTTGCTATGGCAATACTAACTTCTAGGAATATGGGTGTAGATGAGAATTCTGGCTACCAGGAAGTACTCAGAAACCATCGGGAGTGTTCTGCAGGCTTCATAGGACTCCTTTCATCTATCCAAAACATCTCATCTGTTCACTTTTGAACAGCCCATCTGTCCATCTACCTGTCTACCTACTTTACCTAATCTAAGCGAGCAAAGTCTTTTAAAGTATCCTAGATTTTAATAATAAGGGGAAGTTTGAGACCATAGTAAAGGGTCACAAAATGATGATTCACTTTTTCTGGACAATTATTTCATCATTTTTACATCATATTCTTTTAACTAGATATTTCAATGTCAGTTGATGAAAGTCCATTTTTATCTTTTCATAGTTGTAATTCATTTTAAGCTTTTCACCTTGCTCCAATGGCATCACTTTGTTAAGAACTACTAACTACAGTTGGAATCCATTTCACAATATTTCAGAAGTAGTTGTGCTTATTGAATTAGACAGCTTAATTGAAAATCTCTTCAGAAGTTGCTTTTGTGAAGTGCTAACTCTCTCAGCAGGGCAGATGCAGGAGCATAGGGTGTTCAATGAAGCTGAAGGAAGAAAAGCGAGGAAATGGTCCCTTTGTTTGATCCTATAAACAGATCAGTCATTTTTTTAATGAAAGTCTTTGTTAATCTTATTTATTTATTCTAATACTAGCTCAAACCACTCACATTTTTTAGATTTTTTTTTTTTTTTTTTTTTTTGGTGGAACCAGGGATTGAACTCAGGCCCTTGCGCTTGCCATGAAAGTGCTTATTCTCCTGCGCTATCTCCCTGGCCCCACCTTTTTTAGCTTTTACAGGGATGAGTGGTCAGAAACTAAAGACTGCAAGAAAACTGAGTGTTATAGGAGCAACTGAAGAAAATCTTAAGTGCCTGTCCCTTGCCATTAGTGAAACAACAGCAAAGTGATTTTCTTTTTGACATTTGTAAACTCATTTCATCATTTTATTATGGAATCAATAGATAATATTATTTTCCTCATATTCAGATGTCAGTTTAGCTGTGCAATTTGACATTTGTTCATTTCTAGCTTGAATAAGTAGGTTTTATTCTTAGCTAACAGGCTTTGAACTTAATATACATAATGTTTGTGGCATAATAACATCACATAATATGTTCAAAAGAAAGAGCAACGTGTGTCTTGTCACAGAGTAATTCTGACCCACTTCCCCTTCCAACTCCATGCATCATTGAAGACGCTAGCTTCAGTCCTATGTATATGATGAATGAAAACTAGTTGATAGCCACTAAAAATGGAAAGAAGATAAATGCAAAGGGTGACAGGACCAACACGGTTGGCAAGTAATTGTGTGGGCCACAAAAATATGCTACTTTGGAAGGAAAATAAATGCAATAATTACGGACATACAATAAAAGTGCCTTTTAAGATTTTGTGCAAGTGTAAATTATTTCTGATTTTGAATTATTTCTTATTTATCATATTAGCACTATAGCACTTCCTTCTTACAGCATACCTTAAAATTACTCGGTCAAGGAAGTGCAAAAACCAATAACCAAAAAAATTGGGTTGTGCATGAAAATTCTTTTCCTAAAAGTCTTTCATTTATGAAGACTTTATTGCATGCCTACTATGTAACATGTGCTTTTCTGGGTTTGGTTTTGTTTATGGGCATGTTGTTGTTGTTGTTGTTGTTGTTGTTGTTGTTGTTGTTTTGAGACAGGGTTTCACTATGTAATCTAGACTGGCCTTGAACTCAGTAATGTAGCCCAGGCTGCCCTTAAACTTGTGATGCCCCTGCCTCAGCCTCCCGAGTGCTGGCATTAGCTGTGCACCACCACACCTGACTTAGCCTGTGCCATTCTTAGCACTGGGTTCTGCACTATAGGAACGTAGTAGACAATGTGGGGAACTGGGAAGAAGAGCAGTTCCTGAAAAAGATAATCACCAAATTCATATAAAGATTATCAGTAGCTAGCATGGCCCAGATAGGAGTTTCTAAAGAGGTGAAAAGAAAAAGTGAAGCCCAAGTGGAAGAGATAGCATGACTAAAGTCATGGAGGTCAATTATCTCATGGTCTGTGAAAGCTAACTACAAATATCTTAGTAATTTGAATGGTAAAAGGTGGAGGAAAAACACAGATAGGTACTGGATCATGCTCATGACTATAAGTCCCTGAGCATCCTATTGGAAGGGTGAACTCACTGAACGGCTTTAAATGAGAAATGACACAATTAGATTTGTGTTATGGGTTGCTGAGGTGCTGCTTAGATGGCAGTGTTGAATGGGACAAGTCTAAAGGCAAAAGATTCAGGCAATAGACTACTGTTTGCAATGAAAGCTCTAAGGTCATGATCATGGGGCCAGATGGTATGGAATGGAAGGTCTCAAAAATATTTAGGCAAGAAAAGTAGCAGAACTTGCAACTGACTGATTGTAATAGAGTCTATTCAGTTAGGAAGGAATAAAGGATGGCTCCAAAAACAGGATTGAGGAAGCCAACAGCTCACACATGTTAACTTTGAGATACCTGTGCAACTTCTTAGGAGTAATTAAATATTCACACCTGAAGCATGTAGGGGAGGCCTAGATTATTAAGTCATTATCAGTGGGGTGATTATTAAAACATAAGAAATGATATTGCTGGGGCTAGGGAGATAGCTCAGCAGTATAAATGCCTGCCTGGCAAGCACAAGGACCCAGGTTCAATCCCCAGTACCACATGCCATGGCCGGCCATGGAAACTGGTGCATGCCTGTAATCCCAGTGCTGGGGAGGCTGAGACAGGAGGATCACTTTCAGTCCAAGCTGCATAGTGAAACTCTACTAAATAAATAAAAAGATTAAAAGAAAAAACAAATGATACTACCTAGAAACAGTTGGAAAAAAAGACAAACCCTCAGGATACTAACATTTATGAGAATGGCAGAGTAAGAAAGTATCAAGTAAGAAACAGAAAAAGAAGCACCCTAGAGACACAGCTGTCTACTCAGCCTCCATCAGCATGATAAAATACCTGAGATCAACAAGTTAAAAGAGGAAATGTTCAAATTTTGGTTCATGTTTCAGAGGGTTCAGTCCTTTGCCCTTAGCTGCCTTGCTTTTGGGCCTGCAGTGAGGCAGCACATCATGATGGAAGCACTTTAAGAGAACACTAGGGGCTGGGGAAGTAGGTCAGTGGTCTAAGTGCCTGCCTGACAAGCAGAAGGATCGAGGTTCAATCCCTGGTGCCACATGCCATGCTGGCCCTGCACCTTGCGGGTCACCAAATCAAGGGTGGTTGCGCACACCTGTAATCCCAGTGCTGGGGAAGCTGAGACAAAAGAGTCACTATGAGTCTGAGCTGCGTAGTGAGACACTGCAATAAATACATGCATATCTTTTAAAGAGAAAGAAAACTATTCACTTCATAGTAGTTGGAAAGCAAAAGAGAGAAGCAGGAAGGAGCCAAAGTCCCAATATCCCATTCAAGTGCACGTCCCCCACTGAGCTAACTTCCTCTGAGGTGTTCCACCTCTTAAATGCTCTGCTACCTCCCGATGGCAGCACATACAGCAACTAAGCCTTTGGTATATAGGCCTTTGCTGAATATTAAAGATCCAAGCCCTAACACGAGTAAAAGCTCCAGAGTCTGATGCCAAGAAAGTAAAGTATTTCAGAAAGCAGAGAAGATGCAAAAGGTGCAAGAGCAACAGATTTTCAATGTAATTTAGATGTCATTCTATGTTCCCATCAAGTCTTACGTACTTTCAAATTGCACAAGTATTCATATGAATTCAGTACTTTAAATTGTTAGATATCTATCAGGTCTTAGATGTATGTGACTTTGCATTCCAAGAACCCAACGTACCCAACAAATACTTAAAGCAATTGAAAGTGTCACACAGAACTGTTACAGAGTGGAGTGGAGCAGAAGAAGCTAGAGTTTTCAGGTGGAAGAAAGATCAGTGAGTGGAAATAGCTAATGTAGAATATTCTTTCAAGAAGTTTGAAGGTGAGAATGAGACAGGATGATACTGTAATGGTTGGTAAGAAAGAATCAATCAATGCTAAGAGAAAGAACATTTTTATTCTTTAAATGAATTTTGCACATTAAGTTTTTAATGCTATTTTACTAAATATCATACTCCATGATTTAAAAAATAAGACATTTGTATTAAGTTCATCACAATTAAACAATGTATACTCATAATATTTTACCTGGCTATAAATTGTATTCCTTATACTTCCTAAATGTTTCCTTCTTTCTTTAGAATCCTGACACCAGTTCTGGGGTGAACTGCATTGATTTATTACAAATAGAAGGATATAATTTGATAGTTGCTGGAACCCTAAATGGTATGATCATCCTGTGGAATTTTGTAGCATCTACTGTCAAAGAAGTGTAAGTTGTGTTTTTGCCTTAAGTAATATACAAAAGTTGTAATGACGAAGAGTCAATGTCATATCAAATACTAAAAAAGCTATAGACAAAAGTGATGATGACTCTCAAGGAAGGCTTTGTTGGATGCTTTATTGCATTCATGAACAGACTGTTCTTAATGTCTAAATTTCAGAGTGATATATAAAGAGGAATCTTTATATCTGAGTATATAATCCTTTCATGTGTGATCATATCCCAGTGTATGGCCTCAACAGATACTTAAGATTCATAATTATTTCGAACACCAATATCATGAGAACTTCAAACACACATATCCAATTGTTTACTGGCATTTTCAATCTGGATTGCTACCAAGATCCTTTGAGCCTCATAATACTTAAAACTACTTCCCAAACTAACCCTTTTCCAAACTTCTCCCCTTCCTATATTCCCTCCACCTCTACTCAGTTCCACAGTCAAGTGGTGATATGCCTTTGGTATGGCATTTCCTTTCACTCACTAACATATTCCCTATGGTAGAAGATGGTAATAACAAAGGCCAAAGTAGCAGATAAAATTTTGCATCTCAATCACTCAGATTGAGATGCTCTGTGTCATGACTATAGCCTTACTCTCCCCTGCCATCCATCTCTATATATTCTCGTTATTGATTACAAATGAACTGAGGTAACACTGTATTATTTGAATAGATGTACTGCAAGTAACAAGCTTATCCACAGATATGTACAAGCCCATATGTGAACTCTCTAGGGCAAGAGGGTTTATAAAATTTTAAGGGAATAAGATGACCAAGATCTTAATAATTAACAAAAACAAAATAAAAAATATATAAGCATTTTGGGGAGAAAAGATAAATATATAAAGAAGGGAAGATAAATTTGGGAAAGACAAGGGAAAAGAAGATAAAAATCCATAAGCAACCTCTGTCTATTTACAGCACCTTGCTACTAGCTTACCTAGAGTCTGTACCCTTTTCCTATCCAAGTTTGAATCATAACTCATCACTTTTAGCCACCTTTGAGAATAAATAAACATCTCTTCTTTGGACACTGGATTTATTCTCATTTGAAGCTGTATTTGAAATAGCTATTTCTGCACACCTGTCTCTGAACTTCAGCCTGTGTTCTCCTAGACCCTGTCCCTATAATTCTTGCCATGCTTTTACTCCTTCTCTTTGATCCTCACCCTTCTGCCTTTTTTCCTGGCTTTACTCTTGTTCTTTGATACCTATATCTTACATGTACTGTACCACTCTTCACCTTATTAATACAATTTTCACCCTCAGAGTGTTAGCTTAGGTATGACTCACTACTAAGAAATGAAAGCAAACAGAATCAAATGACCAATGCTAACAGCACAGCCTGAAGAGGGACAGCTGTCCTGAGACTGTTGTCAGTTCAAAGGAGGAGTTCCTCCTTGTTGAAGTGATAGGCATTTTGCCAAGAGATTCATGCAAATCCAATCAGAGAACAACTATTGTGGCTTATACAAATGACTGTATAGCAATATTGCTTTAGATTCAATGGAGCATTTTGCAAAATTTGTAACTTAATACTTAACTGTGCGAGGTAATTTAGGTTCAGCCCTAAAGTTTCTAAAATTGCAAACAGTTTCCATATTCACAGTGGAAGCCATTTATTCATCTACCTCAAATGGTGCTTAAGACCTCTTCACCAGTTAAGAAAAATAAGCCATCATCTACAGAGCAGAAATCTCTAAACAAAGTTTGAAAAATCGCCAAGCCCATAAACTTGTCTTTTGAGGGTGATTCACTCCCCAAAATAGCCCCTTCATCACTGTGTTAGTTAAATTTCAATTACTGTAACAGATAGGTGCTTATGTCACTGAGCTATATCCCCAGCCCTCGATTACTATAACAAGTATCTGAGATAATCAAGTTAATAAGATGAAAGATTTATTTTTAAGCACAATTTCAGAGGTTCCAGCTCTGGAATTAATTGGATCGATCAATTGGTCCTCTTGCTTTGGGCCTGAAGCAAAGAAACACATCATGGTAGGGCTGTTCACATTGGGACAGACAAGCAAAAGAAGAAGAAGGAGAAGGAGAAGGAGAAGGAGAAGGAG